ATAGCCGCTCGGTTGCTGCTGGGCGAAGGAATTCTGTTGAGAAATAATATTATTACTTTTCCAAACAAAAAAATAGAAAGAAAATAATTAATGAAGAACAATTAAAAATAGTAATAACGATAAAATTGCAAGTTTATTTAGATTTTTTTTCCGAATATGTATTTATTATTCCCCAAAAGTGGAAAACTATGCTGTAAAAAAATGTTATAATATTTTGGGAGGTTAAGAATTTTTAGAAATAATTTTATCCACTTTAAATTGTTTTCGTTTAAAAGTAAAAATCGGAAATCGCATGTTCCATTCAGCATTAAGATGCAGTTTATTTTGAAAGGTCTGGACTCTTAATATTATTTACACATGAATTAAGTAATACGTAACAGGCCCTTGCCATTGTATCCACATGAATCCATCGCGAGTTAAAAATATCGTGAAATCGAAAATGTAACTGATACGCTTCTTTTACTAAACATCATAGTCTAGTCTACCTCAAACGTGTTTAGAACACTCAGATTTGCATTTATAAAGTTAAACTTATTTTGCTTAATCAGAACACTAATTACACAATATGGAAAGGCAAAAATTTCTTTGTACTTCAGATTGAAGTTACAGAAGTAAAACATCAAAAAAATTAATTTCCTTTTCGCATGCATTTCTTTCTCATATGAATACAAATTCATGATCTGTAATTATTTAACAGATGAAATCAAATAATACTTCATTAATTAGCGCGTTCAGCATTTTTGAAAAATATTGTTAATCAAGATTAAAGTATCACTGATCAAATAAGATTATAAAAACGAATGTCTTTTTTTAACACTAAGGGGCGTTAGCCCAGAAGTGCTCTCGAAACGGGATTTTGTTTCGAATCAGTATAAGCGTTCAGTCACTTTTCAAATTGCTTGCACCAAATATTATCACCCTGTATTACATTAAGAGAAATTAAATAACGAAGAATCTGCATGAATGTATGCATGTTTCTCGCATTGTGCAAAAACAACCGTACCTAGAGCCATCAGATTTTGAATAACGAAGTAACGAAATTTTGATTAAGTAACGAATTTTTGATTAAAAAACTCGACGATTTTGAAGCGAGCAGTGGCAACTACGGAAGAAAACATTTTTATCTCTAGCCAGCGAGTCTGTCTATCGAAAACTCTAAAGATGTGCTGTTTCTAAATATTTTTATCGCAAATGAGCGTTAGCTCATTTGCGATAAAAATATTTAGAAATTCAAATTCAAAAAAACATTCAAATGATCTCAAAACGTGGAATGTGTGCGTAAATGAAGAAAACGTCCCTTTATGCGGAATATAAATCTGAAAGCTTTTTATTTTATTAATTTATTTATTTGCTAAAAATTAACAAAGATGATCAGCATTTCCGAGACAAAGATTGAAATGTAGGTGCTATTTGAGGAATAATTAAACCTCCTATGGACTCCCTGGCGATGCTTTCAGCAGCCTTCCCCCCCAAACATCAAACTAAAGATCCGGTTCCGTTATCACCGGATTTTTTCGTTCGCTTGTGAAAAGGTGCACCTGTTTCTGCTGGGATACATCGTATCTTGGATAGCAATTAAGAGAAAACAAGAAGGGGGCATGCCCCCCAAAAAGAAAACAAATAAGAAAGAAAAAAGAAAGTTTTACTTTATTTCTTGCGTGCGGTATGAAGAAGAGAGCTTAGCGTAATTGGTGAGAAAAGGGGATATATAACACGCAAGCAGTGCACCATTTTTTTTTATTTGTAGTATTTTAAATAATGGCAAGATAATAAGAATAAACAGTTCTTAAAGAACAACCATCAACTCAGAACTCGTACGTCTGCGAGCTGTAATAATTTATACAAAATCTAAATTTACACTTTTAATAAATTTTCACATTCGCTAAGTTTTTAGTTTCTTTTCCTGTAAAAAAGGCATATAGATTATACTTATTATAATACAGATTATTACAGAAAATAATTCTCAGCGTTTATAAAAATTTCTAAAATTAAAGTATTAGAAATTTATGTGATTTACTTAACTTTAATCTGATATTGAAAATGCATTTAAAGACTTTTGCTTTTTAATATTAATATCAGTATTCCAATCAATATCTATATTTGAAAGATAATAGAAAATTTCCAGGTGTGGCTTTCGTCAATTTAGTAAAAAATCTATCGTTAGGTGTTCAGCTACTACTTTTAAATCTGCTCATAAACCATGAGGCATTTTCCAGTTATTTCCAAACATTTTCCTCGATACGATCTCTAATTATTTTATACTTTTTTTCATTCAATAGTTACGATATCATTTTTAAATTCATAAAATATGTATTACAATCATACCGATGTTTTAAAATAATCTTACCTCGTTGTAAAGATGGGAGATTCAGCTGTTCTACGAATCAAATATCTCAAATTTCGTTATTAAAATATTAGTTTCTAGAAGTATACCAGTTCTCAGTTATCGTATATTCACTTAACTCATTAGCCTCTTGATACAGAATGAACAAATAAAGTGCATAATATTCTTTGCTTAAAAGACCAACTTCTTGAAAATCGTACGCTAATATACTAAACAATTTTTTTTTTTTTAATCTGAAAGATCTAAGATTTTATATTACGTCGCCCATAGTGCGTGTTTTTCATTTATACACACATACACGTTTCGACAGTATGTTCGACAGCTAATGTCCCTTGGGCTAAAAATAGTTAAAAACAGCTTGTCTTTGCAATTTCCGTTCTCGCGTGCTGGAGATAAAAATTTTTTTCTTCCGTACAGTGTTGCCACTGCTCGTTGAGTTTGTTGATCAAAAATTCGTTAAAATTTTACAAATATGAAATAGACAATAAAACAGATTGCGAATTCCAAATTCGGACTTCCAGGTGCTCATATTCGGGTGGAGGACTCCGTTATTCAAAATTTAATGGCTCTAGGTACAGTTGTTTTTGCACAATGCGAGAAACATACATACATGCATGCAGATTCTTTATTATTTAACTTCTTTAAATATAATATAGGTCGATAACATCTGGTGGCAACAATTTAAGTGAAATGGACATTTATAGCGATTCGAAGCAAAATACCGTTTCGAGGACTCATAGGCTAACGGCCCTTTGGGCTAATGAATAAATCCTTGAAAAAAATTTCTTTTCTCGAAATAGCGCGGCCAAAAATTGATGGATTTCCATATCTGTAATTTACTGATCAGGTTACCTATTTCGTACACTTAAAATTTTGTTTGCAAAGGTTGTTTGTTTGAATTTCTTAAAAAATAATGGTTTAAAATATTAAAAAAAAATATGAAGGCAAGAATGATATATCATATATACCTAATATTTATTATTTCTTACTTACATAATATTTCATATATCCGTAATATTTATTAGTTTCAGTAAATGCAATATGCAGCAAATTTTCATTCCTTCATGCATACGTAGCCTAGTAATCTGGTAGTTTAATAATTAAAATTGAAAACCCCCAATAATTTTGTTATAAATTAAAATTTTACTGGTAGAGTATGCTACAAGTACGAGGATTTTCACGATGCTCTTCATAGCCATATGTACCTATTTCCTTTGGTAAAGCTTTTCTGAAAGGTATTCCAGCCTAAATGGCGACTGGTATATTTTGGCGCAATAAGATTTTTTTCCATATTCACATTATATCTATATTATTTATTGCACAAAAATTACAGTAAATTTAACATTATTACTAATAAGTGGTAATGCTAAACGAAATTTTAGCTACTCATTATCGAAGTATAAAGCAGAATTGTTTGAAATCCTTTTGATTCTGTAACAGTATAAAGTCATAAGGTTATTTTTAATCCAGGAGATAAGAAAAATTAGCAATGCATTCGCCGAGATTCGAACCTGGACCTCTCGAATATGGGCCGAGTATGCTTCCGTTACACCGCAAAGGCATGTTGGAAGGAGGGAGCAAACACCTTATATGAACCTCTTTTAAAGGGTGACTGGAGATTAGGTCACCTAATCTCCACATCCTGGTGGTGACAAATTATTGTCCACCAGCTTTTGTTCGGGCGTTGTGTAGAGTCATTAGTTATTTTTAACCCAGGACATGTGCAAAATGTGGCCTTGCCGCCACTCGAATACGTGCCGAGTGTGCCACCGTTACAGCACGAAGGCATGCTGGAAGGAGGGAGAAAATACCTTACACCTGTTACCTCTCCAATAAGTCTCCTTATTTCTCCTATGGTAGCTGAAATCAAATTTCTTCTGTACAGTGTGTTTGAAGCAAGGGTCTATGCTTTTGACTACTAATTCTTTATAATTTTAGATTCAAATGAGATGAATGTTTTTATGATCTATTATAGTGAAGTAAGCATTGATTTCAAGATCACTTATAGTAAAAACTTATATGGTAACTATTTTTGAAAGTTGTACAGACTTTTTCGGATTTTTGGAGTGAGCAACGGGAAAATATACAGTACTCTTATTGGAATTGTATCCACAAATCTGTTACTTCTAGCTGTAGGCGTTAACGTCTTGCACCACGAAGGCATACGCGCGGAGAAGTGCGATAATTTCTTCCTGCTTGTCACGTATATCTTAGGACGTAAATAATTATCGGTTTTAAACATTTCCTCTTTAAGGCAACCAGCACTCCAAAAAATCAAAAGCATCTGGCGTTATGGATGGTCAGATTTGGGAGGTTTTGCTGCATTTAGTTTTTCTCCTTTCTTTGGTAAATTTAGCAAGAAGAAAATTCGCTCGTGTGTTAAAAGGCATCTGTTTTAGCATTTTTCAATTGTGTAAAGATAAATTCTTGTTTAAGTAAGAAATATTGTCTTATATTCACCTCCTTCTCCATTAGTAAGCTTTATAATCATCTGTCAGTTCATCAACATATAAGAAAGGAAGAATAAAATAAAGTGAACTGTTAAAAGTAAAACTGAAAGTAAAATGCAGCTTGATTGCCATGTCTTGAGTTTATTTTATTCTCGAACAAATCTGCAAGTATTAAATCTACGTAAAACTTATGTACCATTACTTACTCGCATATTTCCCCCTTAGCATTTTAGCACAATTTGTAGAGTCGTTAGGCATTTCGAAGCAGAAGCCGTGGAAAATGTGCAGTGCCGTCGCCGGAATTTGTACTCCTGACATTCCGATTATCAGTCGAGCATACTTTCCAATTACACCACGATGGCATACGGGAAGGTGATAGTTACTGGTAGTTAAGTAAGTTAAGTATCCTTGAACACTTTCCATTTGTTGTATTTTTTCTGGAACTACGATCTTCGGAAATTAAATTCGTTTCACATACTATTCCCCCTTTCCATCTTGGTGTGTCAAAATTAGTAAAAACAGGAAGAAAGATTCGCGACTAAATATGTTACATTGAGTGAAAGTCGGAATCAAACAGATAAAATATTCAATTTTTTGCTGTATTCCAGTGTCTGGTATCGGGATATCATATCTGAGTTAATACAGAATGTCCGAATCGCCTTGATAATATTTTTTATCAGTTTTGTTTCATTTTCGTATTTACTCACATGTTACCCTTCAATTTTATTTATAGTTCGCAAGAAAAGTAAGAGCGGGAAAGCGCTGAAGATATTTTAGTTACAGTTCGTAGCTAACTAAGATTCTCTAGCAAGAGAGCTAAGACTTTCGACTGCTGCAGTGTTTTCATCCAATTCCAAAACTTTTCTTTCTAAATTAATATCTTCGCCCCCTCCAAAAAAAGTAAATTAAACAGTTATAGTTTGGGCTCCAGCAACACATTTATTTCATGCAATCCAACATCTGAAAAGTTCAACACAGAGTGCATGGTTGTGGCAAAGTGTATTGGGGTGCACTATAGTAAAAGATGAGACGATTGAATTATTTAAACATCTTGGATTTCGGAAATGAAGAAAAAAAAAAAAAAAAAGAAAAGAAAACTTCAGCATGTCTAAGAATGCGCTAGGAATCGCAATATTCCAGAACATCCAAAGTTAGACATCTGAAATAATTTATACCACTCAACATAAACTAATTTAAAGCTGGTTAAAATAATGGTTATTATGGGCTTTGTAACAGTAAGAATTAGCAGAGCGTTCTTTAAGTATAACTCCGTATAGTTTCTAGTTAGTTCTTCGATATTTGCTTACTACCTTCCAATAAGCTCCGCATAGTAGGAAATGTTACAGAATCCCTCAGACTGACCCCCGTTCTTTACAAAATATCAGTACAGTTAATGTTGTCCCTCAGATAGCATATGTTCGATGACGAAAGGATAAATTTGACAACAAATCTAACAAAATATTTTCTTAGAATAAAACAAAATTTCGAAGTTGAAGTAAAATCTGTTTTAACATTCGTGGCCATTCGATAGTCCTTCAGCAATTTATCTTGGGCCCTTAAAAGTTAATTTCTACTATAATGCGCTTGTGGAACAACAAGCAGATTTTGTGAGTTGTTACTATCTAAGTGATCTGTCTAATATAATATTGTACAGATAAAAATTTAGACTCCAATGTGTGTAAATGTGGGTCAATCTAAAATATTCATCCTAGCACTGCGGTTCACTTACTTGCGCATGGTGCAAAAGAATTGCTTCTTTCGGCAGGATCATATATGAATGAGCAACCTATAGTTCGAGCATCTGGATAAAACATTTACAGTAGTGGGTGCTGGAAGAATGTATCCTTGAGTGATAAAAAAAAGGGCCATTCGCTTCGAGAAATTTACACTAGGATCTGAGATCACAATTAGCTAGACCCGGATTGTATTCGAAAGGAAATCCTGCAACCTGCCCCCCCTTATATCGTATTTAATTGCCGACATTCTGTTTAACATTAATTTACTGCTTCAATAAATAAACAAGCCTCGACCGGTAACAGATTAGAGAATTAATCACGATCAAGGCGCCGTCTCGCAGTGTCTAAAGAAGCAGGCATGACGTCAGAAGCCCAGAAGCCATGACGTCACAAAGCCCATCAAGGACTCTGTTTATTGAGACGGTATAGAATTTCAAGAAATGCTCCTCCTATTTATCCAAAAGTGATTAAAAGGCGTGCGTGTAGGAAGCAGAAAGAGAAAGGAAAACAGCGCTGTTTTCGTTCTTTTACTTACCTCATGTTGATAATTAAAAATAAAATAAAATGTTAATGAAAAAGGTTTTGGAGGAAGTTTCTGATGTGGTTTTCTTTGCCATCGAGATCCATCATTTGATTGCTGATAAAATTACTGAATAGCGTTATACATTGAAAATCCAAACTTTATTCTTTGTTTATCCTTTTTTAAGAATTCTTTACAGTTTTTCTGAATATTAAAAATTACAGTCTGAAATGCACTGCACTTTTTTTTTACTTTGGGCAGAATTTTCACTGAAAAAATAATAAACTGAAAAATGCGTTTGAACTCCAAATTTTCAATGTTATATATTGAACACCAGTCGACTGGATTTCCGATGTCCGAAATTCCAGGTACAGATCGTTTGTTCATCTTTTTAGCCGAAATTAATCTTGTTTTTAATTTGTCGACAGGTTTTAGTCTTTTCCTTGCTTTAAATGATGAAAAAATATTATACAGGGCATTCATTGTTTTTTAACTTAGACTAATTTAGATTAGGGGCAGGCAACCTAGCGTAGTTCTGGGCCAGATTATTACTCTTCCTTAAAGCTAAACATGATCTGTTTAGAAAATAAGGATAAACAAAATATAATAAACAAAGGAATAATGCAGCTTTTACAGAAATAAAAATATAAATTTTTTAACTATGTAATCTTGGCAGAAATAAGCTATGATAAATGGAAAAAAAAAAAAAAAAAAAAAAAAAAAACAAGATATAGTCACTTGCATTGCAGATTTTAGACCTACAGGGGGAAAAAACTCGTTTATGTAAACTTTTTGAATATCCGTAGCAGATATTATCCCAAATATTTTTAATTCTATGGTTGAGCTTTTTCTGAACTCGAAGTTTTTTTAAATTAGCTAAAAATGGGCGTACGGTCCTACAAGGCCTGAGTATGATACGAAATTTTATAAATTCCGTTCGCAACATTACTTACAACCGACAAACATAGCTGATGCTGTCTGTTGTGCAATTAAAATATGGTAGATGAAGGTAGATGGCCGCATGATGAGGATAAGCTGAATGCATAGTTCTTTCAGAATAAAGCTATTTCCCCTGACCTGCCGAATAACTGGCTGGGTATCACTGAGTAGAGGTGAAAAACTTGAGCCAGACATGATATGGAAACACTAAATTAAAGTAAATTAAACTGAACTAGTTTGAATAAAACTCATTGTAACTAAATGACATTAAGAAGTCATTAAAATACTTATTAAGAATTTCTTTATAATAAGAAGAATGCCGAAGTTTTATGCAACAGTTGACCGTAGGTGGAAAGTTCATGAATGGTTTCTGAAGTATCAATAGTACTTTGTTTATATTCTTCGCCATATTTAAATTAAATTTACTTGCGAAATTTCAAAAGCCCAAGAAGAAACCAAGCATAGCTTAAGATTGTAACGCAACGATGTTTTATAGATGAGCGAAAAAAACGAAAAAAAAGTTTTGAACGAAAAAAAAAAAGTTTCGATTAATTAAGATGAAGATTTCTATATAGACTCGAAACTTCTAAAAGGTATGCGTAATGGGTGGAGGTAACTTGTAAAAACGTCAGTTCATACGCTTCTTCCTCAGTTGCACTACAGCCTATTACAGGCCAAGGTAGTTTCAACAAGCTTTCTCCATTTCTTTCCGATTATTCGCTACTGTCCATCAGCGATTGATTTTTCGTCTTGAGATCTGCCTCCATACAGTCTACAATAAATGCTCAGTTTATAGAAATTTAATACATTCGAATGCACTGCATGTGCAGTGAAACCAGATTGTCTTATGCTTTTGTCTTATTTTAAATTTTGATTATTAAATTTTGATTATTAAATTTAAAATAAGACACAAAAATGCATCTTTGTGTCCATTATGTTTATTTGTAGCTTACAAGAAATTTAAGTTTCAGTCTGCGAAATTTAATTTAAAATAATTTATCAATTTGTTTACAAAACGCTAATAAAAATATTACAGGATGTTTTCAAAGAAACATCGCAAACATTCTTAAAGTCCCAATATCAAGACATCAATTCTGCTTTAGAAGTAACATTTTTATCTTTTCACCTTAAGAAATCGTGCGATGCACTACTCTTCACATGTTATACTTTAAGAGATTTTATTTTCTTTATGTGTAATGCCGAGATTAATGCGCCAGTGCGATAAAACATTTATTAATCAGAGATAATTCTATACAATCTTTTACATTAATATAGTTAAAAAGCTGTCATTTCAGCAGAATTGGTTGATAATCTATCAGACCGTGAATAAATAATGTTTATTTTTAGATGTCTATTCGTAGAGTATTAATAAAAAAACTCATTTACAAAAAGGATTCTGGCACCAATTACTGATGCAAATATTTTTTTTCTTTTAAATTATGCATAAAAGATAGCGCAATGCACTTCTTTACAATTCTGGAATCCCTTCAAAAATGCCCAGTTTCTTGCTTCATGCTGATAATCCTCAAAATTGCAATTATCTTCAAATAATGCCCTAATAATATTTTCTGAAAATGATCGTTCTACTAATAATCAAAGATAATGATTTTCGTATGATCAATTAAATTATCTGTTAAGGAGCTGATGACTTTGTAATTGCAACATCTAGTAATTACTTTAATGCTTCAAACATTCTTTAGGGCTGATATGCTTTTAGCTTCTTACGTTAAAGTTAAGCATCCACACACTGATATTAATTTTCAATTTCAGTCCATTATTCAAAAATATGATTTCCTGTAAATTTATAATAAATCTGTCGAGCAAATTTATTGTAGACAAAGTTAAATTACGATATGTAAAGCACATTATGATTGAATTATTAGATTGCGATATCATAATTCAGATTAGTAGCAAGTGTATCAAAGTGATATTGAAATTTTTCTCTCCTCATATTACCTATTATTTATTTCAGCAGTAGAAACTTTGAGCAGTAGAAACTTTTCAGCAGTAGATACTTTGAAAATGAGACTATCTGAACTGTAGTCTAAACCAAATTATCTTTATTATGCAAATAAATTTGATGTGGACGCCACATAACTTCTTGTATGGCCTATTAAATTATACACATTTTGTACAGCACTTCATTTAAACATATTTCCTCGAATTTCATTAGAGATATATTTCTTATTCAATCAATTCAGTTCTTACTTAGCGGCAAGACAAAAATGCATAGCAATTGAAAACATCTTCATTAAAGACTGTAAAACAGAGAAAAACCTATAACACCAAACACAGTTAAAAACAGTTTAAAAAAGTTTTTTTTTTTTTTTTCAA